CTGCCCTGGCTCCTGATGCTCCTGGCTCTCACGCCGCGCGTGGACTCGTCGTGGTGGTGAGTCCGTGGGAAGAAGGGGGGGAGAGGCGGGCCAGCGGGAGGGAGGGGGAGTCCCGCGGTCCAGCCAAAGACGGGCACCCAGCGGAGCTTCTCGGCAGGGCAACGGTTGGCTGGCTGGTCCCTCTTTGGGATGGCCAGATTGAGACTGGACAGGGGAAGGGCGCTTCTGAACATGTGCAAAGGGCCGGATGACTCTGAGAAAGCGGCAGCCCTTCTTGGTTTGGGGGAAGGTGCTTGCGAGTCAAGGGGTTTTTCCCGGCTTTTGCCGGCAGGCTTTAAACTGCAACAGCTTTCTTGCCGGAGTCCTGCTAACCTCGGGCACGAAGGAGGCAGGAGTTACAGCTGGCAGCGGACCCTCGCCAGGCACCGCTCAAGCCACCAGAAGGGAGAGGGAATAAACCGGGAACGAGGCGGGCTTCTCGCGAGGTGCTGCCTTTTTCGAGGGGGGCTACAGTTCCCGGCGCTGGACCCGGTCCGTAGGTCGGTCTTTCTTCCCACGACTAGACCTCCTCGACCCAAGAGCGGCCGCAAAGATGCCCCAAAGCCCAGCTCGGTAGTCCAGGTGGGCTTCCTGGAAAAAGCTGGCCATAAAGAGGGGCAGTGGAGCCCAACCGGCCTGGGAGGCAGGCTAACGAGCGCGGGGCTGTCAAGGGAATCAGGCTAGCGAAGTGATGGGGTGGGTTTGAGAGAGAGAGAGAGAGAGAGAGAGAAAGAGAGAGAATACCTAGCGGCCGCGTCATACACCGAGATCGGCTAGTAGGTGATTACAGGGCAGGTAGGGAGATAATCCCCCCTCTAACGCCTCTGTCAACTCTGGCATGCCGAAGTCCATGCTTTAAGAACAAGCGACACACGCAGACACCGGTAAAGCCGGTTCCAACCCAAGCTCAGGACGCGAGCGGTCCGATCCTCAGCGCGTTTACTCCGGGAAGACCCCCGAGTGTGCTCCGCGGGCGCTCAGCATCGGGCTGTAGCCTTCAAACCCAGCCAGCTCTTCTTCGTCCGAAGAGCGCTTTGTTGAAACCCAGGGAGCCGGAGCAGCCCGGCTCGGTGAAAAGAGAAGGCAAGAGCATCATCCGCTTGTTCTCACGGACCAGCCATTAGCCGCCGCCCCTTCCCCCCCCCCCGGTCTCTGATGTACCAGGTCGGTAGAGAAGTAGCTGTCGCTTCCTCTTTCTCCCCGCAGTGCGATAAGACAGGTCTCTGATGACTTGAAACTTCGTGATCCCCTTTCCAGAGACAGCAGAGGGATGGAAGGGGAAGGATGAGGGGTAAGAACCCAAAGCACGTGCTGGCAGAGTTACTGGGCGCCAGCGATAGCCTTGGGCTATAATTTCTTGCCGCCTAATCTGGTTTAATGCACTCGATCGTTCTCTGCATCTTCTTTTCCATACTCCCGTGAGGAAGTATCGTCTCAAGATCTCACCCCTTTTTAAAAAATGTAGTTATTTATTGTCCTCCCCCGTCCGTAAAATCTTCCGCAGGTAAAGTTTTCCTCTTTAACGGCCAGGGAGGACATCAGAACGTAGTAATTTGCCTTTGGCTTAAATCCAGGAGCAAATCGCAACTGAAGTAGGTCCATTGAATCGGTGGGGATTTGTTGAGTGCAAATTCTATTGATTCAGTGGGTCTATTCTATTTGGGAGTGATTAATGCCAATGAGTTGGACCTTTGGTGCATCTGGCCCGGTATTATCCTCTAACCATCAGAGCTTCTCCCGAGTTTATGAGAGGATCCTTTTCTTTTCCTACCTGGATATTTCGAGTGGTCTCTCATCTCATCTCGATATTGGTCTATGACCCTATTAAACTTGATCTGATCACATCTCATCCCAGCTCTAATCAGTCCTGGCGTTGTTTAGCTTCCGAAGCCGGAGAGGACCGCAAGCAGGGTGGCACGCAAGCTGAATATCGCCTTGTTTCACTCGCTCAAAGTATGGATTAGTTGGTGGGCGGAGTGTGAAAGATGGTCTCAGGAGACCTGAGTTCAAATCCCTGCTGGACCATAGAAACTCACTGCGGACTGGGAACGGTGCACCATTCCTGTAATTTCTTACACACCTTCGGAAATTCCCTGAAACCCGGAAAAGGATCGCCGTAAGTCACAACTGACTTGACGTCTCCCCCCCCCTCTCTCTAATACACACACTCACACACAGAGAGAAAGAGAGGACAGTGATTCTAGGACCCAAAGCAACACCATTGCCATCATTTTTCACCCACTGACTGCTGATGTGCCTCGAACCCAGCGCCCCTGTCCACCGACGGGCGCTGCCGGCGCTCGGAGTTCCTCTCTACCTGAGCGCCCCGGGGCCGTTTCGCCGGCCAGTTTCTCGGGTCCCCGGTCTCTCCCCCACCACCACCCCAATGTCTCGGGCACGGAGGGGAGAGGAGGACATTCCGCGAGGAGGGGCAGAGGCTCACCCGTCGGGTCGCGTCGGCCTGGGCAAGGCTTCCTTCCAGCTTGTGGGTCTGAATCCCACGACGCAAGCCAAGCCTCCAGCCTGTTATTGTTAGCACTGCTGCGGCCGGCGTAAACATGGCTTTAGCCTTGTTGATGACAGAATCGTTTTAATTTAAAACTGTTTTTATTGTTCATACTTGAGATTTAAACAAGAGCTCCTCCTTAAACGGGAACAGCTGTCTGTCTGCTCCTGAGAGTGAAGCTCCACAAGTGATTAGAAGAAGAAGAAGAAGAAGAAAAAGGGGGGGGGAGACCTGTCTGCGTGGAGAGTATTGAGAACTTGAAGCACGGCTTGTGATCATCAAGTAATGATTTCCGCGTGGGAGGTCGACCAACAAGCGACGCTAAAACAAGACCAGAGGACGCCAGCGTTCGACAAAGATCTGCGGAAGACCAGGTGCACACGTGCCTGCTCATTACTACGTCGAGTGATCTCCTGCATGTGAGAACCGGCCAGGGATTAACGAGGTCCCTCCTCCCCGGTTTACTTCTCCGACCCAATGATTTTTAGTGGGGTTATATATTCATTCAGCTGCCAGTAACGAAAACCTGGCTCATACGTGCAGGCTGCAAGGACATATTGCTTCGTCTGAATCATCCCAAGCGCGATTCTTTTCCACGCAGACAGTTCACACATTCAAGGAGCACTCAGGTGGACAGAAATTAAGATGAGAGGGGTGTTTTAGTCCTAAATGGTGAAAATTTTTCTAAAAGAAGGGGTGGTTCTTTATTCCCTAATTATGGTGACAATGCAAGGATACGGGAACGGGTCACTTATGGAAAGATGTACTGTGTAAACTAAAGAGGGGAAAATCTGTTTGCTTTCTTGGAATAGCAGCTTTTAGAACATATGTTGGGATTAAAATATTAAACATGTGGCACAGTAGGATTTTTTTTTAAATCTTAAGGCAGAGTAGAAATATTTACTTAATAATAACAATAATATGTGCTGTCAAGTCGGTTTTGACTTACGGCGACCCTTTCCAGGCTTTTCTGGGTACCGAATACACAAAAGTGGTTTTCCATTCCCTTCTTCTTGGGGTGCTCTGAGACTGTGCCGCCTGCCCAAGGCTACACAGGCTGACTGTTCTCCTAGGAGGCACAGGGTGGGAATTGAACTCCTAAACCCCTGAGCTACCCAGCTACATTTACTTAACTGCCGTCCAAATCTGCGATTTGACTCGGCGGCAGTCATCAGCACAACTCTACAAAAGCGTAACAGTGTAATTCTTTACTCAGAAGTAAATTCCTTTGAGTTCCATGAGGATTTTGTAGGTCGTAAGCCTTGCAGTCTCACTGAACTCAGTGGTATTTATTTTCGGGCTGCGCGCAAGAATATTTCATAATTTAATCCTTTTATCCGGCAATGCTTTTGTTTAATTATACAGAAGCTTCTTGATGTTAGAAGCCTGTCTTAGTGTTCTATCCTTTTCCATCTGGATACAATTCACACTTAGATTCCGAATAATCAACGGTGTTAAGCCGGCGTTTCTTGATTTAAAAAACTAAAGAAGGCAAGGGGGGGGGAGATTTAGGTTTGGGCAAGATCGGCCCTCGATGTATTCCCTTTTTCCCCCTTCGTTCTAGGAGAGGGGACAAGTGTTTCATAGTAAAACAGGACCTCCAATTTTGTTGCTTATTTGCTGTGGGCCGCTTGAGAGATAAGTCATTAGGTATGTATCATAAGGGTTCGATTCACACCTCATTGGACTGAAAATTGACAGGGCGAAGATAGAGGCTCTAGATATTTTTCCTCCAGAGATATAGGCGGCTCTTGGTCTAAGGAGGAGAAGGCCTTTCCCTCCAAGTAAAGTTCCAATACTGTAGCCCACCTACCTGAAGAGGAGACCTAGCGAATTCTATTGGATGTTTCTGAGTAAGGCTCTTCTTGTTATGCACCAAGTAGCTTCTGACTTACAGGAACCCTAAGGGGGTTCTCAACGTAGGTGAAATATTCAGAGAATGGCTTACCATAGCCAGCTCTCGATACGTTTTAAGGGCAGAGGGAGGATTGGAATCCAGGTCTCCTGCGTCCTAGCCCAATGCTCTGCGCACCACCTCGCTGTTACACGCTTCCCTCAAACGCCGTGAGGATCGCTTCTTAGACCGGGCTGCAAATCGCCCCCGTTTTTGTTTCGGGGCGGTGGTGCGTCGTCTTAAATGACAAAAGATCCAGCGCCCCTGCCCAACTTTGCAATCGGATCGGAGCCACTCTGGTTTTACAGGGCGTGAAACCGGAAGAGAGGCATCCTTTTCGCAGACGTGGGCCTGAGCCCACGGAAATTTACGCCACGCTAAATGGGTCGCTCGCTGTTTCCGAAGCGACAGAGACAAACGGCAAGGGCTGGTGGTCATGCGAGCGCCATGGCACGGCCGGTAGTGGCCCCTGTGGCAACCTCTCCGGATAGCGGCAGCACCGCGGATGTCCTCCTCCTCCTCCTCGGGCTTGTGACTCGGGAGAGGTCCCCCTGCCACTTTGTCCTCTCGTCTCGTCCGCAGGTCAGGAGCTACAAGATCGCCTTCCGCCTGCGTGG